TTGCCAAAATAATACCTAGAACTACGAATTGGACACCAAATCAAATAAAAATTTTAAACTTTCAACATCCAAAACTCTTGCCGAACCGTATCAAATCAACTCGGAATAACCTCAAAAATTTTGCACACAAGTTACAAATAACATAACGAACCTATTCCAACTCCCGAAATAATAATCCGAACCCGATATCATAAAAGTCAATTCCCGGTCAATCTTATGAACTTTTCAAACCTTCAAATTTTCAACTTTCGCCAAATCGTGTCAAAACCTTCTAGAAACCTCCAAATGCAAATCGGGGGATATGATCAAGTCCAAAATCACCATCCGGACCTAACAGAACCATAAAAACTCCGATCCGAGGTCAAATACTCAAAAGTCAAACTTGGTCAACTCTTCCAACTTAAAGTTTCTAAAATGAGAATCATGCTTCTAAATCAATTCCGAATCACCCGAAAACCAAAACCAACGATACACGCAAATCATAAATATATCATATGAAGCTATTCAAGAATTCAAACAGCTGAACGGAATGCAAATACTCAAAACGATCGATTGGGTCGTTACAGAAAACCCTGTTGAAGCCTTGTCCAAATTGCCGTTTAGGAGTATTTTTTACGGTGGATTAAAAAAATGAGGGGTCAATTTTGTTTTAACATTAAACGTGGGTCTATTTGGTTCGGGTCAGGTTAAACGGAGGTTGGGTCGGGCTTATCAATATGTGGGATCTCTTTTCAGATGTGAAAGTTGATGTGGAGTTCTGTTAGCCACTAAGGATATAAGTGATCCAATACTTAGACGGTGAAGGCATAATTGATATCAAATTTTATCGAGGGGTATAAGTAACCTATTTCGGATAATTTAAAGATAGAATTGAACCTTTTCCACTTCTATATTATATAGTATGCATTGTGGTTAAGCCAAGTGACAAGCTAAAATAATGTCACTTGGCAATTTTAGGACAACATTAATAATTAAAAATTATATATAGAAACATAATTAATGAAAGTAGTTTAATGAATCTTATACATAATCTAAATAGATCTTAGACAAATCAAATTTATATATCTATATTTATATCTATATATTGATACACTCATAGATTTTCTTTATATTAGCTAGAAATATGGATGTGAAAAATTAATTAAAAAACTATAATAGAAAAAAATAAAAAATATAAAGACATAAATTGAGATAACCTGTAACTATTTATATAAAACTAAAATTTACTTAAGATATTAAATATTTATTGAGTTTAACAATTAAATAAATTCAAGTAGCAAAATAAGAACTTACATAAAGTATACAAATTATTTATAAGGTAAGAGAAAAATTATATCAGTAAAAGATATTTTAATAACAAGAATAATAAATTCATATTAATATTGATAAATTGTGCAAACAAATATTTTATACGTAAATATTACAACAATATTTAGATCTAATGTGTTCAAACAATTAAGAAAATATTTTCTATGATATTTGAATTGAGTTCGGTTAGTTTAAGTTTGAAAGCATAACATAATTTTTTGAAAATATGGTCCAATTAAGAAAATAGAATGATAAAAATTATTTGAATTTAAGATGAGAAAGTTTTTAAATTTTTATCTGTATTATATTAGAATGAGTGTGAAAAAAATAGATATTAAATTCAAACAGGCTAATAAAAATTCACATGACAATATAATAATATTAGGTATTGAATAATATAAAATCAAACTTAAAGAATAAGTAGAGAAAAAAAATAAAAATTCACATTTTTATCATAGGAAAAAGGGTGAAATTTATTTAAATTTAAGATGAGAAAGTTTTATATATTATGATAAGAAAAGTCATAATATAAATCCACATAACTCAAGTCTAATAGTAAAATCAAAAACTAAAAATATTGAACAATAACAATAAATTGGAGATAATGTAAGGACATTTATAAATCATAAGTTTAGAAAATAAAATAAAGTAAATTTTACAATACTTAAAAATATTATTAAATTTTAAATAATTTAAAATTTTAGAACCATATTTTTTTTTAAAAATGTTTATTTTAGAATTAGATAATTATATATTTATCTTATATTATTAAAAAAAGTAGTTGATAATGATATTAAATAAAGTTACAAGTTAATGAAAAGCCACATAAAACTTAATAAGACTATATATTAGATTAAAAAAATAGCAAAGTTATTTTAAATTATTAGAAATTTACTATTAGAAATGAAAAGAAAAGACTATTTAAATTTGAGACTAGAATGTTCGTAAAACTATGATGCGAATGCTCAAATTATGGATAATATCATGAAATTGAAGTCTTATTTATGAAAAATAAAAAAATAACAAACAAAAATTTTAAATTACAAAATAAATTTCTAATATCGGTAATTTTACAAAAATTAAATTTGTATCTTAAAAATAAAAAAGAAAGAAAATTTATGTAAAGAAATAAAATAACAGTGAAAATATTACTACAATATTTAGATATAATATGTTCAAACAATTAAGAAAATATTTTTCTATGATTAATATCTGAATCGAGTGCAGTTAGTTTGAGTTTGAATGCATAGCATAATTTTTGAAAAGTGCGGTCCAATTTAGAAAATAGAATGATAAGAATTATTTGAATTTGAGATGAGATTTTTTTTTTTGTTTTTGAAAATATTAAATAAAGAACTAAAATGACAGTAAAAATATTACTACAATATTTAGAAATAATGTGTTCAAACAATTAAGAATTTTTTTCTATGATTAAATAAAATTTACTAATGAAAAATTAAATATTAAATTGTATCTTATAGCTAAAAAAGAAAGAAAATTTAACTGCATCTAATACAAAATTAATTATAAGAGAACTCAATACATTTGGAACATGATAATCAAATAACTCATGTATTAATATTTTAAACTAATTAAAATTTACAATTTAAAACAAAATATGACATTATTTTGGTTATAGGTAAAACATTAATATAAAAACTAATTAAAATTTATAGTAGGGAATAGAATGTATAAAATAAAATAGAGGTAGTGTGAGGATGCTTATACTTTAAATTAATTTAAAAATAGATAAAATAAAATAATAAAATTATATTAAAAATATTACTAATAAATTTAAATGATTAAAATATTATGAATAAGAGGATAAAAACATAAAAGTATACCAAATTTCAAGAATAAAATATTTACTTTTATTAAATACTATTAAAAGGATAATAAGCAGGACATTAATTTAATTATAAGCTAATAAAAAATTGTATGATACTATAATAATAAATAAAACAATAACTATAAGAAAAGAACAAAAAAAAAAGAATTTACGTAAAAATGATGTGATGAATAAGACATATTTGACTTCCAGATAAAAATAAAGTGATAGTAAATTTTTTGTTAAAATAGTATGATCTAATGTGCTCGAACAAGACAGATCACAATATGACATGTTTAGTCTTCTTTAATATTGACAGCGGAACAAAATGCAAGTACTAAAATCAAGGGGGTAGGTTGCTACAAATATATATTAAAAAGATTGTTTGTCTACTATGAGATTTGAACAATAATTTCATATCCCGCTTCATAATTAAATTCTCATGTTATATAATTTTTATGTGAGAAGTTTATATTTTAAGGTTATTTGCACATGATTCAAACAACCTACATCACAATTTGAAATGATTTGTTCGTGTATTGTGCGGGTCCTAATACTAGTTTTAATTAAAAATGTTAAATCGGGCCGATAACATGAAGTTGGCTATTTCTTGTCAACAGATGAACCCGCGTCGTATCTACTAGGGGTGTACATAGGTCGGGTTGGTTCGAATTTTGCAATTATCAAACCAAACCAATTGTGTCGGGTTATTAAACCTAAAGACCAAACCAAACTAATAAAACTCAGACTTTTCAATCTCGGTTCTTCTTGGGTTTTTGGTTTTTTTTTTCCGATAAAATCTTCATAGCACAAAACATATAACTTGTGCTCAAAATATTTCTTTTTATCCTAGTAAGATACAACTATATAAGGTATTTACTGAGAAAATAATCCAAAATATGAGATGTGTCATGGCATTATCCTAGAATATTCTACAATAAAAACAATAAAATTATGTAAATATTGCTAATTAAAAAGTCATAATAAAAATAAACATAATCTAAAAGAACTAAGCGATGCTAAAATAAGTATATTAATAAGGAAGTATTAATTACATGACTAAACGCTAAAGAAAAATAAAAATAGGTTATGCATTTTTATCTAAATTATTGCAAAATAAAAAATAGATATTCAATACATTGCTGTTCGTAGTATTGAATTGAATATCTTTTGTTAGTATTAGTATTGATTTGATTTTAGTTTAGGCTTTTGTTAGCATTATTTAAGTTACTAATATTAATGGCTATAAAACTTATTGGAATATTTCAAAGTTCTAAGTCCAACCTTGAAATAATATCTTAAAAGATAAAATTATGAGAAAGTTTAAGAAATATTTATAAATTACATCACAATAAATATATTTATATATTAAATATATCTAAAATTTCTATATATGTAATGCAGGGTTGGTTTGGTTTCGGTTTAACTTTCTTTAGTTAAAACCAAACCAAACCAATTATTGTCGTGTTTTTTTTTTCCAACACCAAATCAAATCAAACCAAATCATACTCGGATTTTTTTCTCGATTTGACTCGGATTATCTGATTGGTGCGATTTGTCGGTTTCCTTTTGTACACCCCCTATACTATCTACATGCCAATTTCTCTATTTTAACAGTTTATGTTAAATCTTCATCTGTTGTATCCTTTTTAGAACATTGAGGTTAAAATTAATTACTCTCTATTTTTTATATTTAAACGTGACTTTCCGTCTAAAATGTCAACTCAACATAACTGGTTCATTCCGAGGCTAAATTTGGAATTATACTTGAAAAATTCCATGCAGCAACTGTTGGAAGAATAGTGGAAATCCTTTAGTAATTTCATGTGTGGCTAGGTAATATGGAATGATCATGAACAAAATATATACTTGCCAAAAACGATTGATCTATTTCTTTTCACCTTAAGCAAACACACTATGCAATAACAAAACCAGTGATGATAATCAAAGCGTTCACAACCATAAATACAAACAGCTCTACTAAGTTTGACCAAAAGGGAAAGCTTATTAAACACAAATAAACCATTTAAAGATATCCATTGGTGACATTCATTCACGCGAAACAATCACGACTTGCTTTCCAATATTGCGTCCAGAGAAGAGACCAACGAGAGCACTGGGAGCACTTTCGAGGCCATCGGCAACATCTTCCACATAAACAACCTTGCCTGCCTTTATTTGAGGAAGGACCATTTCCAAATATTTGGGGTAAAGATGATAGTAATCAAAAACAATAAATCCTTCCATGCGGATTCGTTTTGTGATGAGGCAGAACAAGTTGTGCACTCCTTCAGTCTGCTCAAGGTTGTATTGCGAGATCATCCCACACACAGCAATACGGCCATGGAGTTTCATGTTCAGAAGAACTGCATCAAGCATCTTCCCTCCCACATTCTCAAAGTAGATGTCAATTCCATCAGGGAAGTACCTAATAACAAACCAGTATTTCCAGTCACTTCAAGTCTAGGAATTTCGCACTAAAATCTAGTGAATGGGGTTCCATATTCATGAAAAGCCAGATTTGAAATGATCCATGTTCCTCGGTTTTCGTAGGCATATCTTAAAGTCTTTCTATAAGTTTCACACTATCTACATAATATCATCATACTTTTCACAGAACATCTTTAACTGCTTTTGTACAATAGGTAGATTGTTTTGTAGCAGGAAGTAAGATTACTCACCTCTTCAAAGCTGCATTTAAATCCTGCTCCTCTTTATAGTTAAAAGCCTCGTCAAAACCAAATTTGCTCTTCAACAGATCAACCTTTGGAAATGAATAAAAAAGAGACATTAAATAACAAGAGTTTTAAACATCATGGTCTATTAAACTAAAACCTCTCTTTCCCCCCAAAGGCATAACCCACCCAACCCTAACCCCAACCCCAACCCCAACCTTTGGGTTTGATGGTGGACGGAGCACAATGATTAACATAACGAAGAATGAAGATAGATTCAACACTATGAAGATCCAACGCAATGGAACTTACCTTTTCTTTGCTTCCAGCACTACCAACAACGTAGCAACCCAGCATCTTTGCAAATTGCCCAACGAGCTGACCAACTGCTCCAGATGCAGCTGAAACAAACACAGTTTCTCCCTTCTTGGGGGAGCAAACCTCATGAAAACCAGCATAAGCTGTCATACCAGGCATCCCTGCGAGCACAGATAATTAATGAGCTCTTGTTTTTCCCTCTTTTATATCAACAACACATCCTGTCTGACCTACACGGATAAATATATCCATTGTTTGCCACAAACTAGAAACAGCAACTTTTCCCACAGGGTTCTACATAAGTACTTTATTTATTTACTTATTTTTAATAGGGGGAAGGACACATGAAAATAGGGAGGAGAATTCAGAGACAATCTTAAGTAAAAAACAAGTTTAAGCACAACTGCAGCCAACAAACAGGGAACTAATATAAACATTTAGCACATACAATTCTAGAAACGGCTGATCATCTGTTTTCACCATTTAAAAACTTCAGTTATTCATGATCTAATAAAGAAATAATCTATTCCACCTTTTGAAGCAGAACATTTTTTTTTTGCGAGAGAAGCTGCACAGTTCAATAAACATGTTTCACGACATGATCATACAACCCTCCGGACCAACTCTTAAGGTAAAGTAAGCATTCAATGAAAGAAACGGGGATCTAGTATCAACTTTCCAAGGATCAATCTGGTGTAAATGAGCTTTCTTGTAGGCTCACCAACTCATATACGGCATTCTTTAAGACAACTGTGCAGTAATTATTGACAAGCACAAACAAGTAAAAGCATGACAAACAGGATAAAGATGAAGAACAGAAAATGAAACGCAATAAAAAAATGTACACTACAAGTACATGAACATGTTGTATCGTCTTTAATCTCCACATATGTTAGATAATCAAAATTCAAACAAAACAAAATCTTCAATTTCAATTACTTAAGGTTGTGCTTATCCACATGGTTTTACAAAAAGAAAGACACTGATTCATGCTCATAACTCCTCAATGGAATAGAAAGCTGCATCAAGAAGACATAGATAAAATGTGCAAATACTCATTATAAAGGTAAAACTGATTATGAAATGCAGGAGGACCAATTCCAGCATTTTTAAGCAGAGAGGCAGCATTATAGTTAAAAAAAGAAAGTACCATTTCAAATTGCTAAACTATATACCGCAGACTCAATAGATTCTGCATATTGAGAGAATAACTCACCAAGGATTCCTGTGTAGTAGGAAAGAGGCACATCCTTGTCATGAATTTTAAAGAGAGTCTGAGTAGGTGTTATAATACTATACTCTTCCCATCCAGTCATTCCCCAAACTAAGTCACCTTTTTGGAAATTTGGATCACCAGACTCCAAAACTTTAGCCACTCCATATCCCGTGATAGGCTATAACAGAAAAGAAAGTTATGAGAGACATTATCATAGGACAAACTGTTAGCCATACAGAAAATCGTTTCCGTCTGTTTCATATTTCAAATCATTGTGGGCTGGATCCCAAAACATCAAAAACAAGGAATAAAGCATCCGTCCACTTACCCTTAACTTGTACAACATCTACAAGTTCTTGAACAACACAGGGGAAAAGAAATAATATTAAATTTGTATGTTTGAGGTCAGCACGATTTACTTGTGGTTGCATTTTATGGATGACAGTTAGATTGGTATGTAGTTCACAAAAATAAGTAGAAAGCCTATCTATGTTGTTCTACAGTCTGTTAAACAATTACAAGAACGTTTATTGGAGGAGGAGGAGGAAGAACCAAATGAACACTTTTTTTTTTTGGCTAATCCCAAATGACCAAATAGAAACACTACCATTAAGAACTTATTTACTCCAACCTATAATATTTACTTCTAAGAAATTTATCCTTTTGATTTTGTTAAACTAATTTTACTGAACTAAATGGCTTCCAACATTGATATCTGATGACATTTTCCAAACATCGGTCAAAACTATTCGAATAGCCTTTAATAAATTATAAAACACAAATTTAATTAAATAATCCCAATACAAACAAGAGCAACAAGAGTACATTTTTATAATTAGATACGCTAGGTATTAAGGAACATTCGAATATATTTCAAACAAGAGCAACAAAAAACAGTTTTTTGGTTTGGATTGTTTTACCAATTTTGATTAGTAATAAACTAAAGTAGAAAAAGAAAACCTAAACTATAAATTACATTCAGTAGAAACTGGGTCCCCACCTCCCACCCAGAATATAATACTAGTAAATCATTTTTCACATTAAGACTAATAAATTAACAATCCCAAAGCATTCAAGACTAACAAACAAAAAGACAACATATTTGTGAATAAAAAATCAAATGGGTCATGGTAAGTTCAAGAAAAAAAAATTACTAAACACTTACAGAGCCAGGAGTGAAGGACTCAACATAGCTACCCTCCATTTTCCTCATGCGGCTACGCATATAAGGGTCACAAGACAAGTAAAGATTCTTCACAACCACAGCCTTAGAACCTTCTGGAACTTTGAGTTTAATGGTGGAATTCTTGATTTCCATGTCAGATTCCTTAGGGTAACCTATGACATAGTTTTTAAGAATGACCTGTTTGTTGCTCACTTCTTCTGCCATTTTTCGCTTCTTTT